GTTTATTAGAAAAGTTGAGAGGAGCAAAGCTTTGAGTACATCATATAGCATAATTTATCAAAGAAGCTGAAAAAAGTTATTGATAGATATTTTCAATAGATTTAATTGATTTACTTATATTCCAAATAACCGGAACATTATTTAATTATTTAACAGTTTGCGCACAAATGCGCTAAGCTCATATATAGCTCGTCTAAACTGAGGCTGTGTACTGTTGACATCTCTTCAGGTAACTGCTATGGATCTTGGTAACTGGGATCAGAGCTAAGTACGATCGCTCAATAGCCGGATATTCGTTTAGTCGGACAGATTCTCATTCGGCATGCCGTCCTTACACCTGGAAATATGGCACACATTGAACTGTGGTGGTTAATAGACCTTATTGAGAAAGGATATGTTTACGATTTGTAACAAACTCGATATTGATCAAAAATTATTTTAAACAATTTTCGCATTACACGCCGGAACTTTCTCTAGTTTTGCGCCGAGCTAAAAATCGGGTCACTAACACGAAGCGTGAAAATTGCGGTAAGAGGTAAAGCTGCTTTGACAGTGTACTTGTAAGCTCATGTAATTCAAGCATAAAATAGAAAAATGCTCACAATTCTATTCATTACAATAAATTATCTACTATTAATTTGTCGTTTTTCATAATATTAACCTGTCTCTTACCAAAAATGTTCATATATTGTTGACAGTCACAGCTAACATGGTGAAAAGTAGTGTGGTGGTGTTATTTTAACAAAAACATGTTTTGATTGGCCCATAGGTGACGGATTCTGAAACTGATTGGTGGATATCCGATCAAGAGGACGAATTGTTGAAGCTGTTGAGCGACAGCAAGGAAAACGTTAACTCTGAATTGCAGTCAGATATTGTTCAGTGTTTAGTTACGGCTTCTTCTTGAGTTATTTTTATTCTAGCTTGTTTCTGATAACAAAAAAAAGTATTCTAGTCTTTGTGTAATGCTTATTGAAGCTATTTTAAAAGTAAGAACGAAATTAGTCAGAATACTATTAATTTTCTTTGATTGTACAAAGCTGAGAGTACAAAATGTACGCTTTGTCCAGAAATTTAATACCAAATCTTTAAGTTTTTCGTAAACTTATATACCGAGAATTTTTAATGATACGAGTATACTGTAGCTACCAAAATCAATACTTGATATTAAATTTAACAGCGTAGAAATAGCAGTAAAAGCGTCTGTAATTTTGGGGCCATGCAGATTTTCTCAAGTTCTTCAGTGTAGTATTATTTGGAGATCTTACTTTTCAAATAATTTAAATTATCTCTTATAGAGACCATAGAATAGATTGCTAAAATTTTAAATAATGGTAGTCACTCCATGCCGGTTTATTATCCTTTGCTTCTGAGAATCAACCAATTAAGATCGTTTTACAATGTGTTGTTTTATGAGCTATTTTTCTCTTTCCTATCGTTCACTTTCTCGTGTTTCCGATTTGTCTCTTATCTCTTTTTCAAATGTGCACTTTATATCTTTGGTATAGCTTTTCATCATTTTCTTGGTCTTAATGGATTTTTCCTAGTATCTGTCAATATTTACATATTCCCTCTAATTTTAGTCCTTATATCCTTGTCTTACTGATTTTCTTATCATCTTTCTTCTAAAGAAAAGATTTGGAGTAGTTTGAACTGTCGAAATTTTTTGTGATTGATTCCTTGATTGAACAGATACTTGCCCCTTTCATAACTGTGCTACAGATTATAACTCGCTGGATCTTTTTTTGTCCTGCTGAGGTTCGTCGGATGTATAGTTCGTAAGGGAATCCAGTTCCAAAGTAGCAGGATGACTGAAGCTGCATTGATCCCTTTTCTTGTTTGCTTCATCCAAACGACTGCGACGTATCGAGCAAGTACCTATCCGACGAACATGAAAATTTCTCTTTTTAATAGAAAGTGTCTATGCTCGACAAAATTTTTATATTTATTTACGTAGTAACAATCAAAATAATAATGATTATGTAAGTTGCATGACAAATGACGAAAAGGAACCACATATTTTAAAATCGGAAATAGAAACCGCAATAAAAAAATTAAAAACTGAAAAATCTCAAGGAGAAGACGGAATCACGGCGGAAGCACTTAAAGAAATGGGAGACATAGGAATTGAAGTAATGTTCAAACTATGTAATGAAATCTGAACACAGGACAATGGCCAGATGATTGGTGTAAGCTCACTTTCATACCCATTTATATAAGAAAGGCTCACCAACTGACTGAATAACTACCGCACTATAGCCCTGATCTCCCACGCAAGTAAAGTTCTGCTAACTATAATTAACGAGAGATTAAAATCAATACTTCTACCACAGATCTCACAAGAACAATATGGATTTGTCCCTGGAAGAGGCACACGAGAACAAATTCTCATTCTCAGACAAATTATAGAAAAATCTAGAGAATTTAATCTAGAAACATATTTGTGCTTCGTCGACTACTCGAAAGCGTTCGATAATGTAAAAAGGCATAAAATGTGGATGAGAGAGAAATGGGCACCCCCGAGCATCTAATATACCTACTGAAACAACTGTATATCAACAACACAGCAAACGCAAGAGTCAGCAACATATACTCCGATAATTTTAAACTAAAAGCCGGTGTTCGTCAAGGATGTATTATCTCTCCCACGTTATTCAATATATATAGCGAACACATCATGCGCATTGCATTCGACGGATGGCAAGGAGGAATATCAGTCGGAGTACTGTTTACGTGCTACGGAAAACGTAGCGGGTTTGAAGTGGTAAGCCGTTTCAATTACTTAGGTCTGTTATCACAAACAATGTGGATGCGAAGAAGAATACGTCGACGCTACAATGGCTAATATATTGAGGTACTTTGGACACATTACCAGACGAATGAAAGGCATGGAGAGGTTGTTGGTTGAAGGCAAGGTAGATGGTAAAAGATATCTAGGAAGATCGCCACTCCGATGGTCAGACCAAATAAAGTGCGCTACCGGTTACTCTCTGTCTGAGGCAGCACACCGCGCTCAGGGAGAGAAGAATGGATAGCAACCATTCGTCAAATACCATAACGTCACCACATCCTTACAAAGGATAGAGGAGGAGGAGGAAGTTGCACAGGGTGAACTAAGTTTGATCCAAATTAAACTAGCCGCCTTAGATCTATGTTTTGCTGTAAATTTTTCGCATATAATCCTCGTAGCTTTGAGTGTAGTGGTTTCTAATCTACATCGCCGTGATATCAACTGTTTTTTATAGATGAGTATTATTTTTGGTCCCCATTGTCGGTATACGATACAGTATTTGTGTTTATAATGAAAAGCAAAGTGAAAGTTAATTATTTTTGATGGTTTACGTAATGAAAACTTACATACTCTAATTATAAAACTAATTTTGAATAAGATCAGTTAAAAAAACGTTATAAAATATTTAATGTTTATTTCTGTATATGTAGCATTCTGACTAATAAACTCTTAAAAGTTTGTCAACTTGTGTATTTTTATAGGTTTGTTTTCCTACTTTTATATTTTGCTATATTTATTCAAAAATCAAAATTATTTTCCTAAACGTTTATGAATAAACTGTGTGTTTCAAAAATGACTTTTTATTATAAAGATCAAGAATTTTTCCTCTGAAATAATTTGGTACGTATTTCAATGTTTGGTCTGTTTTCTGCGTAGTTCTTTCTTGCCAAGGGCGGATATTGATCTTGTTAAATGTAGTGTTTGGAAGTTAACACCGGAAATTTTATGTCAAAAAGCATGCAGTTATACGATAGTTAAATTTATTTTTGCAATTAGTGTAAAAACAAGGGATCAAAAGTGATATCAGTAACTAACTCAATCTTTTTCTTTTATTGCCATTTTCTGCTTGGGGGAATTACCATTTTCATGTATGTCAAATACTTTACGAATTGAATATTTCAAACCAAATGTCAATATTCTGATTATGTGACTATTAGTATATCTCGTTTAAATTTTTTCCCAATACTATATGTATTGTTACCCGTTCCCTCCTCCTGTTCGGTACCTACTTACAAAGTTTGATAAAACTGCAGGAGAACCATTCTCTTAACTTTCTTAATCAAAATATTCTCTTATCTGCATTGTAATATATCCTAGATACTGAAACCTCCTCATTTTTACTGTTACTTCCATCTGTTTTTATTTTTTCGCCATTTGAAGTATTTCCGGATGGGTTATTTAATCCTTCCAAGAGATTTTCAACATCCTTCCATATACCCACATCTAAAAGGTGTGTAAGTTTTTTCATGCATTGTCTATTTAGCGTCCATGCTTCTACACCATAAAAGTCTGAGATTCAACGATGTGTTATAATTAGCAACCTTAAATTAATAGTGTTTATCACTCATCACAGCTGATCTGATTGTGGTTTTATACAGTTTTTCATGAGTATATTCCGAGTCATTCTTCTATTATATCAATTTGAATAAAACTACTGTATCTCTATCTGTTCCCAATTTCAATGGAATGTATAGGTTTATGGCAACAAAATTTAAATAGAAAAGAAGAAAATCTGCTCGAGTGCTTCGTGTACTAGCAGACTCATCTCGATGTGAATGTAGGTTCCTGGTTCGGGCCACACTCTGGTCAGAATTTCAAACGCAGCAATATAAAATCCATAGTAGAAGAGTGAGATGAGTTCTCACGGCTCGGGGTGGCTCATTCACTGTTGGACACCAGAAGGCGTTAAGACGCTAGAAAACTGGAAGATGAATATAAGAACAAAAAAGCTAGACTAGCTTAATATCTAAAATTGTATATTATTCTATTTTCACACAATTGTACATAATCTTAATAATTTAAATTTTCTTATAACTTACAATGTCTTATCCGCTCTTGGGTTGGCGCTCTTGCAACATCTATCATTGCTGTATCGAATACATTAACCAGTTGTTCAATTTTAAGCTTCAAGGAATTTTTGTGTACATCTAAAAGCATGTTTGTTGTTCGGGTGTAACGTTTTTATTTCTAATCGATCATTTCTTTACAGGTTATGGTTACGAATGTTACCTCATTGCTTAAGACCGTCAAAGCAGTAGAAGATGAACATACCAGAGGTACCAGGGCTCTGGAATCCACAGTAGAAGCCATTGGACAGGAAATGAAGGTAATTGTTTATCATTAGATATTAAATATACCTTCTGGAAATCAATTGTCAAATAACTTACTTATTCTATACTATGTAATTCTACAGAAGTAACTGAAATCGCGAACTCAGCTATCGTGAGGAGTGACAAAGACGCGTACACCACGTTGCCAAATCCATTAGTTTTTTAATTGAAATCTTAAACGTAATTAATAAAATGTGTATTTGGGATTTTGTACTTATTTAATCTTGTCTTTTACAGTCATTGTATTCAAGTGATGGCTACAGACAAGGAGTTACAGCAGAAGACTTAATACGCTGCACCAAAGCCTTAACGAACGCAACAGCAAAATGTGTTTCAGCTGGTATTAGCAACAAACAAGACGACATCATTGCAGCCGCCAATCTCTCCAGAAAGGCCATCTCCGACATGTTAATAATTTGCAAAAGTGCCGCCTACAGCTTGGCTGAAACTCCAGAATTAAGAACAGAAACCTTGAATGCCGGACACGATTGCGCGAAACAATTCAGAGAACTTTTGCTCCTTATCTTGCGAGACAGCGGCTCGACTGAAGTCAAACAAATTTTACCTTTGACGTCGAGAAAGATTGCCCAGAGCGTTACCGAACTACTGAGTGTAGCAAAGAGGCTTAAAGGATCCGATTGGGTTGATCCAGACGATCCTACAGTTATTGCTGAGAATGAGTTGCTTGGGGCAGCCGCTTCCATTGACGCTGCTGCTAAGAAATTGGCCAGTCTTAGACCCAGACAAAATATTAAGGTAAGTGTTCTTTATTTCTTTTACTTATTGCTAGAGTAAAACTGGGTTTCATATAAATTTTTAATAGATACCATTTTTTGATATTGTTCTGTTTGCTGTCGATTGTCGACAGAGGATAACCCCATCAAACTAATGTGGCCACCATCTATTGACAGTTCCTCTAATCTATTGTCTATTTTATTTTGAATTGATAACTGTTGCATAATATCGATTTTGACTTGTGTATAAATTGTATTTGATTGTATTGTATTTAAATTGAAGAAAGAAGAGAAAAGTGTGTATTGCTGTAAGATATGTTTGATATTCTTGGTTGTTGTTTAAGAAGCACCCAGGAGTCAAACATATTATTACAGAGATGCACTAATCAACAAGAAGACAGAAAAATGTTACATTTAAGGTTTGTATATAATTGGGAATATCTTGGAAGAGGTCTACTTAGCCATATAGAGATACGTAGTTCTATAGAATGAAAGGAATAATTCTGACCTATTGTTCTTTATGAGTGAGTGTGTTGCAAATTTTGGCTCTCATCATAGATATTCGAATATAAGAGACGACTATAAAATCTGAGATTCTGCTAGATGACTCCTCGTAAGTTTCATAGCCAAGTTATATTTTTCGTATACTAAATTCATCTAGAATATATTCCAGGACTGTATTATGTATGTAGAAACCGAAATATATTGAAGTTTTTAATAACCTATTCATCTCCTGTCGCATTATTATTCTTTACAGGCAAGATTTATTTTCGATATGAGTATAAGATCTTTATATCCTTCGTAATTTCTAAGAAGTGATTTCCAAGAGTGAATGGTCATTGATATAATTAATTTCATGTGCGGAAATGGTTGGAAGTCCTTTTGATTAATGGGACTTTTCCTTTGTTATGCTCAAGAGATAAATGTTTATGTTTTGGATATCATTTACCTTTATAAAGCAACTTTTTTCAAACCATGGTTGTTTTTCAAAAAGATCGATTATGTAAAGTAGTTGTTCAAAATTAGAGGGTGGATTCCATACTAATCAGGACGTTTTATTAAGAATGCAAAAGGAAAAATAGCTGATAACCACAATAAAAACAGCAAAAATCAAATACCTCGGTCATATTATATGGAACAGCAAAATATATGGGCTGCGATAATTTTGCAGTGAAAAGATAGAAGGCAAACATTGACAAGAACAATGGATTTTCGTGGCTAAAAAATCTACTTGCTGATCTGAAGCTCTCCACCATATTTCAGAATTCATTGGAATTCCATCTTACTGCAGCTTTCTGTTCTTCATCCAACGCTATCAATCTAATCATGATAAATCATCATACTATTAATAAAGGAAGAGGATACAAAATGGGCACAAAGAAATCAGAATACTCTGCTATGCAGATGATGCGCCCTAATTGCATCCAATGAAGACGATCTACAAAGACTAACCCATAATTAACACAAGGCAAGATTTAATATGGTGATCTCTACACAGAAAACTAAAACAATTGTAACAGTAAAGAACCAATTAGATGTAAACTGGAAATCGACGGTATCAGCATTGAGCAAGTAATGGAGACAAATTACCTAGAATTACACTGTCTAGCTACGGAGATGTGAGAAGGAAGTGATATATCATGTATATCATGATATATATAGGTTGCTGCAATTAATTTTAAGGGAAAAGTATGAAGGCAAACATGGACAAGGAAAGCGAAGGATTTCGTGGCTAAAAATCGTGGCTACGTACGTGGTTCAACACAACAACCACAAATCTTTTTAGAGCAGCAGTATGCAAGCTATAGATTGCCATGATGGTCGCCAACATCCGAAGCGGATAGGCACTTCAAGAAAAAAAAATTCTGTCTTTGCACAAACCTTTACAAAAGCAGAAGCTTATATTTAAACTTAAATCTATGACACTAGGATACAGTTATCTGGTCGTCAGACCATTACGAAGACTTGAAATAAAAATAAGAACATTTTGAGAAAAATCTTCGGACCGATTAAAAAACATGAAGAATTTCGTCGAAGACACAATGATGAGTTATATGAACACTGGGAAGGCATTTTTACCATCAGGAGAAAACGGTGAATGATGTTTTATGGACACCTAGAACGTATGAATCCTAAAGACCCTAAACCCTCTAATCTCAAGATCGTCAGCTATTCACAATGGTCAAGCAAGTTAAAAAAGATTTACAACAAGAGGAAATTCCACCTGTGACCTCCAAGATCGTCAAGGGCTCAGAGATAAGGTGAAATTTACTAAGAACCTTATCCCTGTCACTATCCCAGCTCATCGCCCTGTTAGCAAGTGGTCACATTAAAAGAAAGAGGAACGTTCCAATAAAATGAAAATCTTTGGCAGAGGAGGAAAACTCACTCGTGAGAAGTATGAAAAAATCTTCGTGATTCTTAGTAGGCCGAAACGGCAGTAAAATGAGCTCGTAAAAAGTTGGGTAGCATTTATGCATTTTACCTAGTCTTTATATTATTATATATCTGGTGGGCGTGCAAGGAAAATATTGATATGAGGGTGGGATTAGCAGGAACTGATTTCAGAGAATTCATGTTTTACATCACTTTTTAAATTCTGTACTATATCATAATATCGTTTTTTTCAGACTCAAGACTTGGATGAGTCGTTGAACTTCGACGAAATGATTCTAGAAGCCGCCAAATCCATCACAGCCGCAACCTCGGCACTTATCAAGGCTGCCAGTGCTGCCCAACGTGAATTAATAGATGCAGGAAAGATGTCTGGTACGCCCGTTTCATCATCCGACGACGGCCAATGGTCAGAGGGTCTGATATCAGCTGCCAGATTAGTTGCAGCTGCAACACACAGTCTTGTAGAGAGTGCAAATGCTCTAGTTCAAGGTTAGTTTTAACAAAGTATAACATCCCTAAAGAGATAATCTTGAAATTTACGATTTTTTTGATGAATTCATTTTATCTTCTAGGACTGGGCAGTGAAGACAAGCTAATAGCGGCCGCTAAACAGGTGGCGAGTTCCACTGCTCAACTTTTGGTAGCGTGTAAGGTAAAAGCAGAAGGTGATACAGAAGCAACCAGAAGGTTACACGCTGCTGGTAATGCTGTAATAAGATCTACCGACAATTTGGTAAGGGCCGCTCAACGAGCAAAGAGTGTGGAAGAGGAAAGATACTTGATTTTGAATAAGAAAATGGTTGGTGGAATTGCCCAAGAAATTAACGCAAGGTATGTAATTATTTTTTCTTCTATTTTTAATTTGCTATTTGTAAAAAATACAAGTAAATATGTTCACTTACATCTGAAAGTTATTTGAATTTATTAAGACGTTTATACACCATCGGAATTAGAAGAAATATACATATGATATTTAATGTGTGATTTTATAGCGCAAACCTCACTATAGTACATAATTTACCATGGAACTCATACCACAGCAAGTGTCTTTCCGTCGATAGAAATTTTTTTTTAATATTGCTGGGAACAATTTAGTAACTCATTTCTAGGAATGTCTGGAGAAAAATTCGAAGAAGTGGCTTTAAGATAGAAAAAATATGATTTTTTAAGATTATTTTGTGTTCTGTTCAATTGTTAGGTTGTTCTACAATTTTTTTCGTAAAAGACAATTTTGAAACTTCAAAATTAAAATGTGTCTATAACATGTCAGAATAACTCAAACATTTCTCTTCGAGTTTCGAGAAATTGCACATTTCTTGTTTAGACTTTGCTAAATGTCTTTTACAAATGTTCCAAAACATTGTCTACCAGCTTTCGGTCTGTAAACTGTGGTATGGTAAAATTTAACATTGCTGCAATGTGTGTGGCGCGATTTATAAATTCTGAAAACTTCCAATCTTCTTGAAGCAAAACTGCCAACCACACACACGCGCTTATTTTAAGTAACTCGAAATTAACGGTCCCAAGGTGTAAAAAAGGAGAAGAGTGAATGACTAGTGAATCTATATGGCGATAGTATCCATGTGGATGCTATTGACAAATTCCAAACGCCCAAGACACAAGCAAATACTACCCACGATGGGATGGGTAAAGGTGAATCTTTACTACCTTAAATCTTGATGATAACCGTAAAGAAGAGTTTCCAAGCCTCCATGTTGACTGTTGGGTACTGGGTTAATATTTCACTTCCGTAAAAATCTGTTGCTAATGTTGTCACAGTAAAACTAACAGTGGTTAGTACTGGATACTCTAATATACTATGCTTCTTTCTGTGGACTGGTAATTTCTTTCTATTGGTAATCGATGGTTTGGGTAGCTGTGAGGTGCAGGTCGTGTCTCATCATGGGTCGCCAAAAAATATCTAATAAAATGCAGGATGTAAGTAAAACACACCAACTTCAAAGTCTTGAAATGAATTGCAGCCCCTGAAATGGATCCTAGAGTCAGGGTGGCCTCTAAGGGGCCATCCAGATACTGCTAACTTCGTCTTGGTCGTTGAGTTCGATTTTTTGCTGCTAGGCCTGGACTGATTTTCGTCGACAGAACCACCTGTATTTATATGTTCGTCGAACTATCTTTATATACATATAAGAGTTGGAATTCAGAGTGTGGGCCAATTAGTCGAGCGCTACCGAGCAATTCCAAAACATTGTTTACCAGCTCTCGGTGTATAAACTGTGGTAAACATGATAAAATATTTAACATTTGCTGCATTGCCAGATATATCTGTTGACGCTCATTTCTTGAACTTCCAATTCTGTATATTGTCGAAACTAATGCACTAGTATAGTCACATTATTATATAAAAAGGTATATTCACAATTTGATGTTTTAGATCTGAAGTACTGAAAAAAGAGAGGGAATTAGAAGAAGCACGTAATAAACTCAGTGCTATTCGTCAAGCAAAGTACAAATTGAAAGGATACGATACTTCAGGGGATGACACCGATGGTTACATTAGTTCAGCAGCCGAAATGGATTCATCTTCAATGAGGTAAGTACCTATTAAAATTTTGCATCGATTAAAAATCACATTTTAGGTAACTACTAACCCGCATTCTCTTTGTTATTGTTTGTTTTGGTGTCAATTGGTGAAGAGATGGATTCATTTACTTTATTATTTTTTGTTTGATAATGGCACTTTTCACATTGACATTTTTTACAACTAGTAAATCAAGTGAGATAATTAAAATTAAATAAAGTATTAAAATTAAAAAGTAAATGAAGAGAAGGCAATTAAAATACATAGATCCCAGATTTTCATTAATACTCTGTATATCTCGTTAAGTAAAATACATTTTCATCGCTATAAATTCCCAATTTTAATGTAAAGATTGGCGAATGATAAGAAGAAGTTATCATAGGATAACATGGTCTGGGAATACAACATCAAAGAGGAAATATATGACGCCTTTCTATTTAGAGTAATAACTAGGACTCACAAATAAAATTTCAAACTATCAAAGCGTCACCTGCCTCATATCATATCTATTCAGTAATGACAATAAAAAATATTTTGGCAATAAAGGTCAGACTGAGATTCAAAAAAACTACAGCGGTAAAAAAGCAAACATTTACTATTAATAGTTAAAAGATGGCAAATGATACCGTTAAACAAAAAGTAGCCAGCATACTAGAAGAAAAAATAAAGTGGACACAAGCAAAGAGGAAGGATTTGATATTCTGCTGAATTAAAGAATGCGTTTATCTTGAAGATTCTTTAAAATACATTTTGTATTGTTACAAATAAATTATACAAAGAGGATCCACAAAGTTCGACTGTCCTATTTTAGGAGATGAGGTGGTCAACTCCAGTACTTTCAGCTTACTAGACAAACCGCCGTTCCGCCCCTTGCCAGTTACACCAGTGCCCAGACCCATCCTGTTAGGAAATCGCTGGTTCCCGCGATAACAGGACACATCTGCGCAGCGAGCGGATCGAACCCATGGAACCACAATGAAAACTGAACCTACAAATGGATAACGAAGATCCCCCCCGGATGGTAAAGGCCGGGTATCCCCCGGACGTTGACGACCCAATACACGCTACCGTTTAGGTAGAGTAGAGAAGTCTGCCCTATTCTGGCAGAACCAATGCCCTGTGAGTCCGTCTCCAGTGAGGGTGGCACGATGGCCATATCGTAGGGTCCATCTCCCGCAGTACTTTATTGCCGTACGTACCACTGCCCGTGATCTCTGAGAGGGTGAGACAGGTTGTCGCCGAGGAGCCTACTCCTCTATCACTAATCTCCAACTACAGGCACGTTTCACAGGCCACGTTCATATTGGGACTGATCGTATAGAACATGCAAAACCTCCTGCAGAGGTTTTGTGGAACGAAAGCAGAGTGGTTCCACATGAGCTCATTTCGGTACAACGCAAGCCGTTGACCAGTGCGACTTATCGCTTCGTCTCGTTTCTAGTAGTCCCCCATAGCGACTATCGACACCTCAAACGAACACCCCGGCTCACCAACTCTCGTTCCATCCCATTGCTCGACTTTTACGATCGGTAGAGACCAGCACCCTAGCGGTATTCGGTTCGTCCTCTCGCTCCGAAGAGCTATTTGTGACACGGTCGCTGCTAGACAGCAGGACATCGAATTGGTCGCCTCTTACGACTGGTAGGGACCAGCACCTAGCGCTATTCTTTTCATCCGTTTGCTTATAGGAAGCTACTAGGATTAGGCCGCACGCTAAACATCCGTATACTTAGGGGAGGGGTATACAAAGAGTAAATGGGAAAAGAACCGAAAAAACTAAAAATTTAAATTGTTATTAAATTATTTAAATAAGAATAATCATTAAAACAAAATATTTAGTTGAAAGAAGTTGAGCGCCAACTATTTACAGAAGAAAAATAGTAAAACAAACAAAAAGTTCACAAATGAATAAAACCAAAAGCATGTGACGTTTACAACGTTTCAATATTATTATTTTGTTTTATCTCTCAATAGATATAAAGTCGCTTTTGGTGAAACATATATTAACATATAAGCATATGTTAACACATTTAAAAATAGAAAGAAGGAAGGTTACATCCTACTACAGAAACATAATAGAACACCTTTTGGAGAGACTTAATTAATAAAATTGAAGAATTACATAGATAGTTTCTAAAATCACATCAAACATCTAAAAAGTAGTTCATAACATTTATATATATTAAATATAAAAATATAAAGTAAATGAATTTAAACGTGTTATTTTTTTAAATCATTATGTATTAGATATTCCGTATTATATATTTCAATGCATTTGTTTTGATTTTTTGCATGGAGTTTTGTTGATTTTTAAATGTAGGGTAGATATATATTTAATAATTAAGTACTGATTATTGTTTCAATGCCTCTAGATAAACAAATATTATACTAATACATTCAAATTTATGTATCGATTTGCCTGTCATTAAGAACGAAGAAAAGGAGAGGCTGAGAGATGAGCGGAATTTTGTTATAAAATTTTCTTCTTCTTTAGGTACCGTCTTCTCTAAGGAGGTTGGTAATCATCATAGCTATTTTCACTTTTGAAATTGCAGCTCTGAACAAGTCGATGGAACTGCAATTATACCACTTTCTCAGATTGTTGAGCCAGGAAATGCGTCTTCTTCCAATACTTCGTTTTCACCTGTATTTTTCCCTGCATTATGGTTTGTAGCAACACATATTTATCCCCTCTCATAACATGGCCGAGATATTGTAACTTTCTTATCTTAATCGTATTCATGATTTCCATTTCCTTTGTCATCTTTCTGAGGACCTCAACATTTGTTATTCGGTCTACTCAACTTATTTTTAATATTCTTCGGTAGGTCCACATCTCGAATGCTACAAGTCGATCGCTCACCTCTTTCTTTAAGGTCCAGGCCTCCACCCCATACAGCAGAACCGCTGTATATAAAATAAAGGGGCATATAAAACCACCGCATATAAAATGTTAGAGGAGGCTAATACAGACAATTTAAAAAACATTTTGGTTAGCGATGAATGTACATTTACGTTAACTAATGATTAATGAACCAAATGTTCAAAATTATAGGATTTAATCGACAAGAAAGACTGAGAATATTATTGAAAACAATACCCAATATCGTCAAAAAATAAATGTCTGCTTAGTAATAATTAGACACATTATTGTTGATTCATTTTTCTATGAGGAAAATTTTAATTCAGAAAATTGAGACTTGCAGAAGTAACGAATTTTAATTTTTTAAATTTTAATCTTAAGAGTAAGTTGAACAGCAGAATCGCAGGATGCCTTGACTAGATGTTAGGCCTGACATTCACCGCTGAAACGAGACCAGAAACTTAGCACAAACAAAAAGATACCCCCAAGAAAATTAAGATCCAGAAGTAACTACATACGGTACAATTTCGAAAGTAAGAATAAGGAGCATATGTTCGACCTAGAAAGAGATTGAATGAACGTGTTCCAATAGAATAAGTGGTAATGTTGAAGAAAAACAGGCAATATGCCTGAATAAAACTAGAAGAAGAAGAACAAGGAGAAATTTTAATTCTTAATGCACCTATCTGTGCGCCTATCTATGGGTTCTTAAATAGCATTTTGAACACCGTGTTCACTTTTACGTTCATTGTATGGGGGACGCTGGTTTTTCCTTAAGGGCATAGTCGCAAAATGTCACTTGTCAAAATGTTCAATGTGTTTTAAATGTATTCCTTTTTTTTCGAATCCTGAGAAAACTAATAAGTATATATGAAAAATTTAAACGCAGAGTGAAAGATTACGTTATTACCGAGGGCCGAAAGTCCTGACTATTGTATAATAAGTTACAGGGTGAAAGAAAGAAAAATTTAATGTGACTTTTAATTTCAAATATCTTATTCAAAAGAAACTTTTTGGTTATTCTAAGGGACTTTCTACAATCGGTAATAATGCAATATTTTATTCTGCGTTTAAATTTTTCAAAAATACTTAGTTTTCACAGGATTCGAAAAAAATGAATACATTTAAAACGTATTAAACATATTGACAGGCGACATTTTGCGCTTTTGTCCTTAACGAATATTTTTTTAGCTTTGTTAATCTTTATATAAACTTTTTACCATTTGAAATATAAATAACAAAAAATCTTTTGCTATGAAATTGTAACAAAAGATATATATTAGATATTGTCATACTTTTCGTGACAAATGCATTGAAAATATAGCTTAATGTACAAAATATTAAATCTCTCTTTTTTATAAATTTTATTATACACTTTTTCAAATTCACATTTTATAACTTAATTTTAAAATCTCTACACTCTTTTTTATTTATTTTTGAATTATTGAATTTTTGTATTAGCTCACGTTAAGTTTAAAACTTCTCACTATCAGCAAATGAATTGAAGCTGTTCCAAAAGTGTTAATATCTGTCATATACTTTTCAAAAGTAATACTGAGATGTTTATTTGTTCAAAAAAAAAGTTTTCAGTTCGAATTAATTAATTGTTTTAAAGCGATTTTAATACAGCATTTATCAAGCATTAAATTACTTGATCCAAGTTTTAAGGAGCTATGATTCTTCACTTTTGTTTTGTCCCATTCGTCACCCTTATTATTGGCTCTGCTTGATATCACTTTGAATCAATCCTTGTTGTTCTTTAGGATTAAATGAGAATGTCGAGTTTTCGGCACCTGTGCAATAACTGGAATATGTTGATTAAGAGATAAAAACTCATACTGAATACCACGCGTGTTGGTAAGCTTCAAGGTGGCATCCCATCATCCGACTTACCTAGCTTACAGATTTGTAATTTGTACTGCTGAAATTACAAATACTCGGAAAACATCAAATTAAAAGGCCGGATGGATCAAAATCACGATAAACCAGGCCTGGATTAGGTCTGGTTAAGGATAATCGAGCTGGAATAAAGGATGGATTAACGGAAGCTGTTTGGAGTTGCAGATGGTTATAGTTAAAAGATCTAGAAGTAAACAATAAACTAAAAAATCGTGAGATAAGCATAGCCCTTATGACTAAAATATAAAAG